GTTCACCTGTCCTAGCCCTGTTTATTTTCAGATGGGTTTCACATATAGTATATTTCACAGAAAAATTGGGAAATGATGTGCAATTGGCAGAAATAACAGGTAGGAGTATATGTACAAGAATACAAATTAGGCTGTCACAAGGAACTGACTGATATTGAAATTTAGTGTGATTATCTTATGGTCTTTTGCTTAGAATAAAAGAGGACAAAACTATTCCTTCAAGAACACGAAAAACATGATTAGATAAAAGGTTATTTGAGATATCTAATGTAAAGCTTAAATATCAAAGAAAATTCTCACAGGACAGGCCAATTAGATACTTTAACTCTCTTCTTGACACTAAATACTTCTATCTATCTGCTACTGTTATTAATATTGATGCCGGCATGCTTAATTACAGCTACTTGAAGATAATCAATTCAGCTTTAAGAATTATATTTTAAGTTTTTAGTCCATAGGACGAAGGTTTGACTAAGTGATTGGTGTGTATGTGGTGTGTGTCTGTATAAGGCTGCATGTAAAATTATGTGTAGTTGTGCCAGACCTTTGCAAAGGTCACTGATGTCTTCTGGGAGCTCCAGATGTGCACAGCGCAGGGAAGAAGAGAACAGGCTACCAGGCTTCTGGAAGGGCGTGTAGAGGCAGGAGACGCCACTGAACACAGGGTCTCCAAGCAGCTCTGCAGGGGTCGGCCTGGAGGACACAGAGCAAAATATAATATCCACAAAGACCTTTCAGTTGGAAGAATTTATTCTATTACACCTTTATTTATATAAACTCATAAAAGCTGTTTATTGCAGTGTCAGGCAACAATTTGTGTCTGTTTATTTTGGTATCATTTCACTTGTTGGTTCTGGCATGCTGGAATCCTCTGTGACGTGCACAAAGCAAGTATTTCTTAACCTGCGTGACAAGTGTTTTGGAAACTAAATGACCAATGTTTTCCAACAAAACATGATATCCAACAGAGTCTGTATTTACCTTTTGGATGGAAGAAATGTCAAGCATTTCCTTAATAACTCGAGAACATTCTCAGGCAGCTCCTGTAAGAAAAATTACCTTATTAGCTGCAGTACAAACAATACAGACAGGTCCCATTTAAACTTACAATAATCTCACGAAAGGTCAAGAAAGATTAGGACGTGCTTACACAAAACTACTCGTGGGAATAACTTACTGGAAAATATTCAATTTGTGTATAATCATTTCTGGGGATTGGTGAGACTGTCCTTACATACCAATGACCATTTAGCTTTTGAATAACTCTTAGAAACACCTACAAAATGTTCGTTTCGTTTCAGGGTTGGGTATCGAACGTCAACACTTTTGGCCAACAGTAGCACTGAATAGAGAAAACTTTTCTGATTGGCTATTTACTGATCTAAATCGGGAATTCGTATTCTCTTTTCTCTTCGATATTCAATTTAGGCAAAGATCTTTATTTAACCCTGATGCATTGAGCAGTTTGGTTTTATTGTTACTAATTTTCCAATAATCCCTAATAGCTCTTTCCTTAAACTATGACAATAAAACCATAAAAATGACAATGACAATAATCAAATCAATTAAAATACATGAAGAATCTCATTGACGAAGATCAAGGCAGCCAATGATTTTGACTCTACCTTAATGGTATCCAAGCAACCATGTTCCTCAGCAAGGACAGTGACAATGTCGTCTATGCAACCTGAGAATGACACAAAATATCACAGTGTAAGCCTGATTGAGTTGAAAAGCATACTGCTCAGTACTTTAATTAATTACTTCCTTTTCACTTACCCAAAGTTAGAATGAATTTCAATCTCTCGCTTATATCGATATTCTGCAGCAGTCGTCTACCCTGTAATTGATTCCCAGCATTAGAATTTAAGATCCATAAGTGAATTCAGGCAAAAACCCAAACAGCATCAGAACATCTTAATATATCATTATTGTATAAGTTTATGAAGGACTCTTACTGCACACAACTCAAAGAGCAAAACCCCAAGAGACCAGACATCAGTCTTGGGTCCTGAGGGCAGAGGAGCTTCATCATGAGAAGAGTCACTGGGGTGAAAGGAGCCCTGAGCGATCACCTCTGGAGCAAGGTATGATGGGTACCTGAGGCGGCGATCCCAGAGCAGATAAGCACATTCATTTGTCAGCCTCTAAATAACATTTGTCGTTGACACTCAGTATTCTCCATATAATTAAACTGAGCTGGTTCAACAGCTCAGTGCAGAAACATTAGTTTTTCATTCATTAGTGAGCTATGGAGCTCCTTTCCATACTATGTTGACAGGAGAAATTAAAGTCATAATACTGCTGACATTTCTGTCATTACGTGATATATATTGAGTTGCTCCCCAGAATATTCTGCATAGCTGTTTGACGGTTACATTTATTACATTTTTCATCCAGATGTTTTATTTAAGTCGTGGGTATGTGCCATCATTCCTCTTTTCAATCTGCAAAAGGATATTACACAGCAATACTTGGTAGAACACAAAGGCCTTTGGATTAGGATAAAAGTCAAATGATCTGTCACAGTTCCTGAACCAGGAAGCTATTTTGATGCCCCAAAACCTGGTTTCTATGAAAAAGGATGGGTCATGATGCATTCATTTTATGGTCAATTGCCTTTTTCATGATTTGACTAACAGCAAACAGATACAGCAGAACAGAACCTTTGACCCCGAACAGACAGCTCACATAACTCAGTCCCACCAGTTGAAAAGTTCCAGAGAAGCCCTAATGGACCTTTCTCAGTGATGAATGAGGAGAAAAAGACGTACCCAATGGGAAAATCTACATCAGCCCCATGATCAGTCATGTGATAAAGGCCAAACTTTGCCAGCTTGACATTTGCCTACAAAGAAAATGTATATCTTAGAATGACAATATTACATTGAAGCAATAAGGATTAATTTCATTGTTTTTTTTAAATTGGACAGCCGGTAAAAGATAGACATAAATAAAATAGCTCAATTTCACCTTGCAGTCCATGAGCACATTGTGTGCACTGAGGGCTCTGTGCACCATACCATGTTTGTTCATGAACTCCAGACCTTCAAGGACCTCATAGGCTATCTTGAGCACCTTCTCTGGGCTAAGACAAACAAAAACACAACAGGGTTGACTGGGTCAGAAAAAAACAAACAATTTATCTACATTTTTAACAACTATTAGACATTCCAATACACTGTTTTTATGCAAACCTAACCTCTGCCAGTAGATGGCAAGGTTAATGCATACTATTTGGCCATCATATGCAATAGAATTTATCAACAGTACAAGGCTTAACGATAACTGCTCACCAGTGAAAGTGAGGGAGAAAACAACAACGGTGTTTGTTACATATACTTTTACTTTAATTACTTTTGGATAGTTAACGAAGATTTTTAATGGTATTCTCACCTGACTGTTTTCCCCTGTTTTTGGAAATCACTTAAACAGCTTTCATAGTGTTCAGCAACAACAATCAGCCGTTCTATAGAGCAAGAGAAATCACAATAAACATATGCAACCTGCACAATAAAAAGTGAGGTGAAAAAGCAGGCCTTGTTTTAATCTAAATCTAACAAGATTAATAAAAGGCAAAGCTGCATGCTCTCTAAACTTTTATGCAATTATTTTTTAAAACAATAGCCTAGTAGTATTTTTGACAGTGTGTCATAGAGGAGTGTATTAGACTATAGTGTATTAGGGTATTTCCACAGCAGGAACTTTTCCCATTGGATCAAGAACCTTTAGAGGAAGTCAGAAAAAGGCTTTAGAGTGAGAGGAAAGGGGGGGAAGAGACAGGGGAAGACTCTCTTCTCTTATAAAGGGCAAGCCATACCGTGTTTCCCTCTGGTGATGTCCACATATTGGCAGAGTCTGGGGTGAGTGACGGTTTTGAGGATCTGGAAACGTCCCAGGATTTTGATAGAGTTGGGGGTAAGAGGGAGGCCATTGCTCCCACAGACATCATGAGGGAGAGCTGAGGCAAAGAAGGTGAATGCTCCCAGCTCGGCATCTTTGAGGGGCCTCATGTTGCCACTGGCTTGAAGCACTGATAATGGGAAAGAGTCTTCAATACAATATATGAATAATATCGAATAATATAGGACTATGAATCAGAGAAACATTCGACTTATCAGTACGGTATATTAATTTCCCATCGATACCATTCAGTAGCCAGAGGTGTACAAAAATAAATGGTAACTGCTGCAACTTTTTGTGTTATCTGTTGTTTGTGGATTCCTCACTGTTTTTTCTCCTTTGTACATAAGTGTCTTATATTATAGTAAATTTATTAATTTTTCCTACTTTTTATTGTTTTTATAACGTTTTTTTCTCTATCCACCTTTGCCCTGCTGTAACATTGATTTCCCATTTGGGACAAATAAAGGAAATATCTTCTTAATATCGTATCTTAGCCACAGCTAAACGTAGAGGAAAGGAGCATCATTAAAGCAATTGACAGGTCAACACTGTCCCTGTAAGCAGAATATATTTACACCATGCTGTTAGCTAACAGTTACATTCACTTCCGAAACAAAATACACAGTGTTAGTGTGTACAGTGATGCTGCAGTTAAGTCCTTATTGTCCCGGGTAGGAAACCAATGATGTAATGTGCATGACAACCTAAAAATGTGTCTACTCACGCTTAATGGGAAGTCTGCAGGGTCATAACGACAGAACAAACGTGAGATTATTAATAAAATATTTTGGAAATGAATTCCTTTCCTGCCTCTGCGACGTGAGGGGAACAGCTGAGTGAACGTGACCGACGACGTTGTTTTTGTGCGACAAAGTAGCGCACGGGAACAGAGCATAAGCTGGGAAGCACGGTTGTGGAAAATCTTAAATTATTCCAAAACCTCACGAAAAGTTGTCCTTGAATTTATTTTTTCGCATTTGTTCAGGAGTTAGTTTCTCTTTATAGTAATTACACACAGGCAATATGCGTCGACTCCTTGCATTTCGGCGACATATCCGATCTATAGAACATATGGCTGGAGACGTCGAAAGTAAAATGTACCGCGTTGCTTCATATCCGGATAGTTTAGAGATCTAACCGCGGGGGCCTGAGTCAGCCTCTCTGCCTGTGTGTCAGCTAGCGGATCCAGCGTTAGCAGGACTAGCCCCCAGCCCTCCCTGAAACGTGTTGGGGTCGCTGCTCAGAGTCCATGTAAGTTTCGAAAGCTTCTGTCTTTTTTTCTACGGCTTTAATAACGACTCGTAAACCATTTGACGTCTAACCGACGGTCGATATTGTTGACTACCAGTGCTAGTTCAATGAGTGTGGTTGAAGATACCAGCTCTATGTCAGCTGAGCCGGCTAATGGCTTATTTAAGTGACAACGTTAACTCATTTCCATTACACTGCAATACAATATAACATTACAGTTCATTCTAATTTTCTGACTGACACTATATTAGTTAAGTGCCCCAATATGAAATAAGATGGTTGTTTGTTTACTGTGAGTTGCAAATGATTCTGTGATTTGGTCTTTGGTTTAGCTTATTGTTAGTGACTGCAACTCCAGCCAACAATCATTTTTATTATTGATTAATCTGCTCAGTATGTCATTATTTATCATTTATAAATGTGTATTTGATGTTGCCACCATCCTAAAACCAAAAACCTAACGAGTTGGTATAAAACAGAAAATACACATTTATAAATGATTTGAGGAGCAAATTATTGTATTAAATAATTATACATAAATCACAACAATTCAATAATACAATAATACTGTAACCTGCTTGTTTTATACTTATTTATACGTGTATATATAACCATCAAATCATTTTCACTCCATACAAATTCAATACCCTTGTGCAATGACTATGGAAAATATCACTTTGGGTATGTGAGTTGAGCACTTGACATTTGATATTTTAATCAGTGTTTAAAAAAAGAACTGGTACTTGTTAAATGCAGCCCTATTCATGGGAGAGTCTCACTATTTCTGCTCATGATCCCACCTGATTCCTATATCTCAGTAATTTGGGTTTGGGGGTTTATATATTGTTCTCACTTCTCATCATTCGTCATTTACTATTGGAAATAGTTGCCGTTATGCTAAATTTGTGATCAAATTTACCACCACGCTGTTAAACACTCAGTTATTACTTTTTCTCTCTGGTATACATATAATATATCACCTTGTTTTTGCATGTGCATTCCTAAAAAATAATTAAAAGGGCAAGTACATCTATATCCCAACAGTGACGGCATCTGGTGTCGAAGGCTGCACAGCTCCTAGTTCCTTTTGACTTAAAATGTGTAGGTCCTCCTAATGCCTTCAGGTGGTGCTGGCATACTGCATTCTCATTTCATTTATAATGGTCTGGTTGGCAGACAGGTAGGGAAGTATCCTCCTACAGTATATTTTTACTGTGGGAGTGAAGCATGAAAAGAGGAAACACTTGTATCCTGGTGGGTCTGATCACACACCGCCGCCATACCAGAGAGAGCCGGTGGTTAAAAGTACGACATTTAAAGATTTAATTCAAACCACCTGTGTGGCCTCTGTACAGCTGTGCAGCATGGTCCTTTAAATTATTTCATTTTAAAATGCATGTGCACATAAAATGTTACGGTGGACAATTGAGAACTGTATGGCAGAGCAAACCAGGCATGCCTATTTTTAGGAGATTGCTAATAGTGGATGTAGTCAGATGCCTTCTCCAGTAAAGAACCAGTTGTCCCGTCCCCCCATAGCACAGTTAACCTGCTTGAGTCAATGATATTTTATTTCTATACAGTGACGGCTGGTAAATTAGACATCCTGAAGGCCGGCGAAGCACAAATCACTTTAACGTTGTAAACACTTTTGTCTGTTTCCATCTGAAATCCAAAGCTGAAATGACCTCTACATGTCTTAATGCTGCGGACCATACCTCGGCCCCAGGACCAATTTTCAGAGGTTATCCAAATGAGATCAGCCTTTTTGTGGCTCTTGCTATTACTCCACCACTGGTCCTGTTTAAATCAATTCAGTTTCTCTAAAAACAATGCTTTGATCCTTGATTTTATCAACTCCAGCTCTTTTGTGTTTCTAATTTCCTCATCCCCCAACATTTTGTTTTCATCTCGGGCCAGCTGTTGTTTTCCAGCGCCTCCCTGTAATATGTGTAAGAAGTTTTCTTCCCTATGCCTCAGCCTTGTAAAAATCCTTCTTTTCCTCTTTCTTCAAGAAGTAATTTGCCAAGCTCAACATGATAAAGAAACACTACCCCAAACCAAAACTGGTGTCCACTTGTATTTTGGTTGAGTGGCCCAAGAGGGGCTGATCTGTTTTAAACCAAATCTCCAAAACTGAGTACATATAATGTCGATGCTATGGTTTAAAGGAGAAATGTCACGTCTTACTTTTCAGCAGCTGTTACTATGAAAGACAGGAAGGAATTAATTAAAGCATTTGGCTTGCCAGGGTTGACTTGTTGAAATGTAGCACCAAACTCTCAAATTTGATGAGTTTAAAATTGGCTGATTTATTGTCTAATTGTTTTTATGTAATTCAACACTCAACACATTCTTTTAATTATCTGTCAACATGCCTTTGTCACTTTGGGCAACCAGACAAAATATATCAGTCATGAAAATCCCATTATCGCATGGTTTATACCTACTGGGGTGCACATTATGGAAAACATGTCGGGTTAAGATTGTCCTGTCAGACATATTGCAGCAGGGCATCCACAGTGCTTAAATTTTGAAATTTTTTTGACTGAAGAAGCAGTTAAAACTCTGCCGCTACATTAAATGATATGTCACACAATAAAAAGGAAACACCTCTACAATGTAATGCAGTCCAATACTATAGCCATGAAACACATTCCACCTTTGTGGAAATGTTAAGTTTTTGTTGAGACTGTCAGAGAGGAGTTGGCTTAAATCTGTGGTCATTTTGGAGGCTGTAGTTTGTGGTGGCGTTGTAGTGGAATGCAAGTCTTGTAACTCCAAACATGTATCTTTGTAGATGTGCAGCATAGTACTTTAGAATACCATCTCTTTTTACATTGCCACTAAACCTGAAGTATTCACTGTACGTGCAAGCTTGATTCATGAACCTTTGTCTGCATTTAAAACCAAAGGAAAGATACACTACTATACATCTATTAAACCCAAAAAAATATAACAGAATTTGCTGTGTAGGCCCCTACAGATTGTATTTTTTCAAGTTCTACTACCTGATATTCTGTTGTATTAAGATTGCTGTATGTCTTTTTTTGTCTAATAGGTTTTTAGCTCGCTCCTTGATCAAGATGTCAAGTCACAATCCTTTGCTGAGGCTGGAGCAGCGAGCGGCCGAGGCTGACCAGATCATCGAGTACCTGAAACAACAAGTCCAGCTGCTAAAGGAGAAAGCCAGTAAGTCAGACACAGACACTAAAATGCTTATACATAGCCTTACTAGCAGTTTAATGACACCTGAAGCTGCAATTATGGGAAGGTATATGTACTTCAGTCTAGATCACTTCCTATGGTCTATTTAAGTTCATTCATACTATATATATATATGATTATATCTCTATATGTATAGAGATATAATGTTGTAAAAGTGTGACATTTGCATTCTCATTTACTATTTATTAAATGAAGTATATAAATAAATGTACAGATGCTCTATACATTCGTCATTATCAGGAATCTATTCCTGGGTACAGTTCTGTCTTGTAGTATTTTAACAAAATGTGATGAGTGAGCAGAAGTTTTTATTTCTGGTGCATTTGTGTAAATAATAAAGCTAAAGGGTAAAATTAAGTCTTTAAGTGTAATTTAGGCTTTTTAAGTCCAAATACTGGATTAGTGGACAATTTCATGGTTTCTGTAACTCCAAAAGAAGCATAGTTTAGATTTTAATAGTCATCATATTTAAGTCAACAGTACATTTGTACTAGTTCAGAGAAAGCTCTAAAACTGTCCTTTGGGATAGTGAAATTCCATTCCAGCACTGAGAGGTAACAAGAATTTGCCTTCCTGCAGCCGTCCAGGCCAGTGTCAGAGAAGAGAAGAAACTGATGGTGGAGAATGCCAAATTGAAGAATGACATTGAGGAACTAAAAAAACAGCTGCTGGAAAAAGAGAAGAAGAGGGGAGGTATGTTGAGTTCGGTTCCCAGCAAAGACTTCCATCGCGGATCAAATGTTTGTTAGTCTTTAAAAAGACCTTGATGTTGTTATCCTTTTTATATCAAGTTATAGAAGTGGCTCTGTGTGCCTAACATTTGATGTCAGTTGTTGCTCATTAGAGCATTGTTTGGTTTGCGCTATCAATGATAACATCTTGTGCATTCTCGCCTCAGCCGAATATAACAAGAATCTTTTTTTTTTTTTTTTTGTTATAAGCAACCATAGTGCTTCAAGAATCCCCATTAGAGTGATGGGGACAGCATGTCTGTCGGCTATTGTGCGTCTGACATACATTCAAGGGCAAACGGCTCAGATCATTAACACACATTTAATGTTTTCCAGAAAGAAGCTGCAGGAATGAAAGGGGACTGGAAGAAATAAGCAATTTAACCTTATTCAAAATAACTCAATATGTTAGTGTTGGAACGTTGAAGGAATCCATTCCCATATGCCAGAGGCTATGTTTTTCCACACATTGTATCTAATTGTAATGTTTATTTATGGGGTTTCTTTTCAATGGCTTTAAGGTGGCATAAAATAGCTTAATCAAAACATGGATAAATATGAAGCTTTTTGAAAGGAATTTCAGTCGGCTTTGCTGATTTGTTATTGAGATGAGAAAAACAAACAATTGAACGCGACTATAATAGTGCTTTGAGAAAAACAACATTTCTGCAGCCAAGTGTCAGTTAAAGTTCAGTGTCATTTTAGAGCTGAAATTCTGCTGGACCCATCTATGAATCCTCTACATCAAAGTGTGCAGACAATAAGCTGGTTAAAGCTGCATTCATTTCTAGGGTCCACTTGGCTGTCATATTATAGTTGTCTATTTACATATCCAGCAGACATGGAGCATCGTAAGCATTCATTTGCTATCATGTTTCTGGCCACATGATGGAATTAAAGTTCAATATTCGCTGTCTTTTAAGCTCTGTTTTGGTCAAAATTATTATTTGGTCAAATTAATAAATTTTTTTATGGGTTAAACACCACTAGCAATACCTTTCACATTACATATTGTCATTTAATTCAGTTTTTATTATAAAAAATATTAATTATTGCGGCTTTAACCAACCTTTCCAGAGATTCATGCATAAAAAGGCATATAAAATAATGCACTAGACATCTACAATAATGCCCTCTGATATAAATCTATCTGTATCTGTATCTTACACTATGTGACATTGTCATATCGTGTGTAGAAAGTTGGTTCTCAATGTCAAAAACCTTTAAAGAGTAAACCTAAGGGGATGTAAAGAGTTTGAGAGGTTATTGCCCGTAATTCCTAGGTAAACTGGAAAGGTCCTGATCTCAGGTCCTAACATAGAATTAAGGTAATTAAAAGCATTATGGTGACCGTGGTGTGCCTGCAGACCGATGTTTGTCAGACACAGGCACTAGATTTTGTAGGAATTCAAACATCAGGCGCCTTAAATGAGGGGTTATTTTTTTTCTGCAGAGTTTTTGTAGCATATTGTTCCCTGCTTTATGGCTCCATTTCCTTGTTTCCATCAACTTGGACACTGTGTCATTTTCCAATCAAAACTGTTTGTATCAGGAGAGCAGTCCTCCCACTGGGTGTGTAAATAAAGCCTCGCTCTGTATCATTTCATTGCGTTGTGTTGATGCAACCTATTCTGTGCGTGAAAAGGGACAACTAAGACGTAGTGTAGCTTTGTGTATTTGTAATGTAAATGATCTCTTTCATGGCAGTGCGGCGCAGCTGTCTACTTTCACATGAAAGTCGGGATGCTATGTGCAGAGAATAACATTCATCAGAAGAAAAAGTCTCAGATAGTAGCTATGATCCACTATTCAGTCGATTATTTCTACTGACCTTTTTCCCGTGTGCCTCCTGTAGTGCTCGATGTGACCATGCCATCAGGTGATGCCAGTGTTGAGTGCATTTCAAAGCCCACACCTCCCAAACCCGCTGGTCCAGCACCCTCTGCCTCCCCTGCTGCTGCTGTCCAGAGCCCCCCTCCCAAAGATGAGAGCAAAAAGAAGAAGCCAGAGAAAAAAGGTAACAGCTGGAGAAAAAAACTACACATGGCAGGGTTTTATTACAATTTCTTTGAAGATTTCAAATCCAATAAAACTTTTTTGAAGCTGAAATTAAGCCTGTTTCGATGGGTCATATAACAACGTTTGTGTCATGTATTTAATTTTCTATTCACTACGGTCTTTATCAACATTATTCTTTTTTTTTTTTATTCTTTCTCTTCCATTAACAGTTAGACAGATGCAGCAGTGTGTTCTTCAAAGGTCCACTGACTTTCTCCAAACATGTTTTTCCTTTTGAATTTCTAATATCAGGTGATAATGGATGTAAGGCTCCAATATCAGCCTCTTAATGAATCCAAGATCTCTGGGCCTCATATTTTTATGATTTATAAGCTATATTTGGGTCAAGGCTTTCTTGTCTAATGTCACCAGTAATTTAATCCAATTTGATAGTGATTTAATATTTTGTGGATGTACATCCTTTTAGGACTCCATCATAAAATCTCCATGTATCATATACAGTGGTGTTAAGCTGTTTTACATTTATGATAAGTTTAGAATTCAAAACAGGAAAATCCCTGCCATCATTCAGATATTTCATTTTCTTTGAACAATAAGATATCTAGACTAATTAGAAGGATATTGACGGGACGTGATTAGCACCGGATGTGTTTATGGGCTTATAATTTAGGAAGAGAAGAAACAAGCTTTAAGCCACAGACAAATTAATTGCCATTTTTGGCATTTCTTACATCCAGATGTTAGGGAGCTGTTAATGAGATTAGCTTATTCCACTTCATAAGTTCTTGTATATGTTAAATCCTTTGTTCTCACGTCATCCAAACAGTCATCACTTACAGACCTGTGTAACCTTAGTGTAGTCCTGGTAATGTTACATTGCTGTGCTGTCATCACACCAGAGTATTGATTGCACAGGGGAGAAATGTGGAATATCAAAGGCATGGGTTGGAATTCATATTCCTCAGAGCTGGTGTGGGGGCTCAGAGGAATGATTAAAGACTGTGTGATTATTTGATCAGTACAACTCACTGGAACGAATGTGTGTAAGCAAAGCAGGCGGGTGAAAGATACTTTGTCTCCTGGGAGTAAGCATCTGCTTTTCTGCTATGTTATTGAATCATGTAGCACTTACCATCAACCAAACGTGGGTATTGGTATTGTCATTTACTCCACATTTCTGGGAAGAGGTGAAAATAGAAAAGTAAAAAAAAAAGTATTTTTTTATTTATTTATGGATCACTTGAAACGTATGCCCCTGCATGCAACCCTGAGGCCTGTCATTGGTGGGCTTTGTTTTCGTTCATGGGAGGAAATTAAATCAGATTCCAGACAGATACCCAGTATTGTTTCAACTACGATTTGTTTTTTATAATTTCCCTCAGCAAAATACCAGTTGGCGTTCAATAAAAAGTTCTTCACAAAAAAATAAAAATAAAAAATACCAGTTGGCAGAAATGTGCTTTCGAAACAAACATTTCCTATAATGTTAAGCACATTTGGTATAGTAGCATGAAAACTCTCACAGATGCCTCCCTTCGCATGATGGGTAGCTACTGTCTGACTTTTTGTGCTGAAAATGAAACAAACTTTCAACACCCAGCCAAATTATCAGACTTTCATCAAAATAGCACAAATTAAGAATAAAGAAATGTTGAAATGAATTTGAATTTCAATGTGAATGGTTTAGTATAACCTTATTTATTTATGCCAGGAGGGGAGAAAGCAGAAAAGAAGCAGGCAGCCCCCAGCCAAGAAGATGCCAAGGTGGACGTGTCTCGTTTGGACATGCGTGTTGGACGTATAATCGCAGCTGAGAAGCACCCAGATGCAGACAGTCTCTATGTCGAGCAGGTCGATGTTGGAGAGGCTTCTCCAAGGACAGTAGTCAGTGGGCTGGTCAAGCACATACCTCTGGACCAGGTACAGTGCAACTAATAGACAGTACTAGTATTATATTTATTGTATATATAATATATATTTATATTAATTTCAATACAGTTCTATTTATACATTTTGATATATATTGTGTGTGTGTGTGTGTGTGTGTGTGTGTAATGAATCCCAGCAGAGACTCTATTTGAGAGCTTTTTTCACTAGACACATAAGCACATAAGCAGTGCTGTGTACATACTGTGTGTATACATTAATGGCTCACTAGGGCCATAATAAGGATTTATTAGTCCATTTAAAGTGGCGTCTAAGGTAAACTCTTTGCTCATGGTTCTGCTTATGTTGGTGTTTATTTTGCTTTCAGAAGGATTTATGATTTGCTCCTGCAGCAAAGTGATTTGTTTGTATAATTCCTTCTAAGTGAAAAGCACCAGTTACCTTTATAGTTGCCAGTATTTCTTTTCATATTTCTAGACCAAGGAGCCTTTGTGCATTACACTTCTGCATTATACAGTATGTACACTGTATATATTAAGAAACCATATCCTTGCTGAAATCACATGTAACAAACACTGTCTAACAAAAAACCAATACATCCAAAATCAAGTTTTTACTTTACTCTCTTGTTGACTGCCATTATCTATTACTGTCAAGCAAGCAGGAGTGAAATATCTGAGGAAAGAAATTGTGGGTTTTATGGCAGCACTCTGTATGTTAGGATAAATAATAGGTACAATTTAGAAATACGATTCTGAGACAGGCTAATCATAAAATAACTGTTATGACAAGTGGCTACATTGCATATTAAATATTACTCAAATCTGTTTGTTTTGTTTTGTTCTGTACACACTGTGCTGTCCCTGACTTGGCAAAACCGCCTAGAGATGAAAAATGAAAACTACTACTATAACCCTACCAAAGCAACATGAGTGATTTTAGATTTATGTAGCAGTTTGTTAAATGATGCCATTAAAAAAAAAAAAGTTAATGGTTATTTTCTGAGATCTGGTATACATCATCTTGTGGAATGCTGGATTTGTCTTTTTCTCGGCCTTTGGCAGAAACTTTCTCTGGTCCTCTTTTAAACTTTGGTAAGCCGCAGAGGTCTCTAGGCTCAAGTATAAAGTTTTCCTGTTTGCTCCCTTTGGTTTTTGAAATGAGGCAAACAAACCATAAACCTCGGACGCAGTAATTTTAAATTCATTGATTGGAATTGGCAATAGTATTTATATTGAAGTCTCAAATTCTCTGCCCTGTATCCAAACAGAACACATCAGTTGAAGGTGTTTTTTTTGTTTGTTTTTTTTGTTTTTGTTTTTTAATAAATTGTCTATTAGTTGGGTTTTTTCTCTATTGTTAAGGGCATATGGAATGTAAAAATGTATTTCATCTTCTGTCTCCCATGCAGATGCAGAACCGCATGGCAGTCTTGATGTGTAACCTGAAGCCAGTCAAAATGAGAGGAGTGGTGTCCCAGGCTATGGTCATGTGTGCCAGCTCACCAGACAAAGTCGAAATCCTTGATCCTCCAAGTGGAGCAGTACCAGGGGACAGAATTACTTTCCAGGGCTTCCCAGGTACCATCAATTACCATTGCCTCAAAAACACATTAATCATTAGCATAAAGCATAAATGTTACGATCATATCCAACCGAACAGACACAGTGGGAACTTTCCTCACCACTGTCATTGAATTAAGCGTACTGAAAGCATTTCCCAACCTAGTTTCCACAAAATGCCTCTGACTTTGGGAAATGAAGGGTGTCGTTGAACCTACCGTCTGCCAGAAACAACATGGCAGTTTCCACATTCATTTCTCTAAAGACACCAATCACCATACGTTCTCAGACCCCACTCAAGGCTCTCATTAGAGGAGGACTCCTCTGTTTGGTGGTGGCTAAATGGCCTGTGACTGCTGATTTGACAGATTAATCAACGCTCATTGCTAGGAATGTAACCTACTCTTTTTTTAATAGTCAGTCGGAAAGATAAGTGCTCTAACTGTCCTGTTAAGTTCAATCAATGTAAATGAGGTTGGAAAAAATGTGAATGATATTTCCTATTGATTAACACATTAACTAGACCATACAACAGTCAAGGTCCCTCCTGTAAAGTATTACTAACGCAATCTCTAAAATCAAAGACCGCCACCAACAGGCCAGTGCGGTTGTGATTTAAGTTTCTCTAGTTCTGAAACTCTGAATATTGGTGGTGTGAAGAGGATTTGCTTTCTTAGTCATCTATTCTTTTGAGAACAATAACCAAATGGGAGTTCCCTGTGAAAAAAAGGGGAAGACGAGGATATGATGTAGGTGGATCTGTGGTCTAAGTACCCACAGCCCAGCTGCGTCAGCCGAGGCTTTCATCCCTGCAGTACACATGTCCCAGACACTCAAAAAGCTGTTTGATTCATGAGGAAACCCTTTGGCCGAAATATTTTTATGGGATACTACATTAAAAAGTCATATTCAAACCATCCTCTGAAAACAAGGTTTCACGAGAGAACATAAGGAGTGGACGATGGAGCAACAGCAGAGTTGGTTGATGGTTTGTTGTGGTGTTGAGTTCTTGTTTGTGTAAAAGTTTTCTTTAGTACATGTAATGGAAAATAAGAGGTGAAAGAAGTTTTTGTTTTTTCCAGTTTTCCCTCCTTTCTCCCACCAAAAGCGCCATAGTACAGATTCAATTACAGCCAATCGACTGCTGGTGCAAGTACATGGTTGTAATTGCCCACATTTCCTCAACTAATGGGGCCCAGTACTTCTGCTTGAAGTTAAGAATGTGCACAAGTTGCTCATCAAAACCTCTTTCACGCTTCTGATCAAAACTGATTGTTGCCATTCTTGGATTGTAAACTGACAAAAATGGCAGCTATGGGAAATGAAACACATTTGTGTCCTCATACCCTGAGATGGTTGTGTAGAGAGGAAAAAGTTGACACCAGACAGAAGCCGGCCAGTACCGGCTATGATCTTTCACAAATGCCAGGCATTAAGCAACATCAAAAACGAAGGCATTGAGAAATGAGAACCTCCCTTAATTGTTTTCCCTGGATGCATATTTTGATTCTGAGAAGTTGGGTTTAGATGTTTTGAATTACGGCAAAGAACAACTGGCAGTTTTAAAAAGCTGATGCTCTAATAGAACATGATAGACTAGTCAGACTATTCACAATTCAAGTGGGGGAAATAAAATTAGAATTGGCCTGATAAATCATGAATATAATGACTGGTCATTTACTCACAATTTGTTTTGGCTTCAGTTTGTTATACATATGGTATCGGTGTATGCTGAATATGAAAAATCCATGAAGCAAAGTTAAAACTCATTTATCAATGTGTCTTAGCAAGGATATATTAAAACAGTGTTTCAGTAGGTTATGCAAGGGCAAGACATATCATAAGAAGTTCATAAAGCATCAGTCCTGGTCTATAAATCTTGCATGTGTGATGGGTGAACACTGAACAGAGGAGTTTATAATGTATCACACTGACATCTTGATTGCAGGTGAACCAGACAAAGAGCTGAACCCCAAGAAGAAGGTATGGGAGCAGGTTCAGCCAGACCTACGCACGGACAGCCAGTGTGTTGCAACCTACAAGGGAGCTGCCTTTGAAGTCGCCGGCAAGGGAGTGTGCAAAGCCCAAACCATGAGCAATAGTGGAATCAAATAAAATAACAGAGCTGCTTGAAATGGCTCAGTGTTTACTTGGCAATCATCTGCAGTGATGACGATGTGTTGAGAAACAGGATGATGGTGATGATCGAAAGGAAATGCTTTGAAGATGTTCAATAAAGGGATTTGCAAATTACATACCGGTATACTTCTAAAGTGTGTCTTAAGAACGTGTCCGACGACAGTCTATTTTGTTTTTTACCTCTAAAATATACACAGTCATGGCCTATAAAGTGAAGGTAATCAATACAACTGTTTCTGCTTTAATTCACCAACTTTGTCTCCTCTCCTGAGGCACATTAGCTTGATTGTGCTTTGATTTTGAGGTTATATCTCTAGGACTGTACTGGGCTTGATCGGGCACCACTGGTTTCCACTTCATCTAGTCTTGGGCATTTTAATGAGCAGGAGATGAAACAGGGATGTTATACTACAATGCCCAGCAAAAACAGATCAGGTTCTCATGGTCTTTGCAGGGGCTATTTAGATGGTGCTCTGTCCCAGCTCTCCCATCTCCTGGCCCACCATCAGTATCCCAATCTTGGCTCTGTAATGCCAGTGCCATGTGCTTTATTTTACTGTCCCCTTGAAAGAAAAAGTCTGCCCACCTCCGGAAGTATCAGACTACACAGAAGAAACAGACAGAAAGCTGTGCACCAGAGCCTCTAATGTTGCTTCAATAGTAATTAAGGCCATCCACTCTACAAAAACATCTGTCATGGGTCAAAACCGACCATCGCACACAACTTGTGCTTACTGTTCGAGTCCTATTCTTTTTCAGAAAATTTAGTGTATTCTCTTGTGCTCATTTTCAACTGCCCAAACAAATCTGTTTTACTATGGTGTGATGGAAAAAAGTTACTCATAGGACAGGCTTGTAACTCACATACTCACAAATTCACATTCAGCAGGCTGCACATTCTCCACAAGGAGCAGGACAGTATATTAACAGTAAAACTTTACCGCTTGTTAACAAAACTAAAAAACAACTTTTCCATCGCATTGATGTATCGAGAAAAGCCTTCAGTAGTGTTTTTTGCTCTTATTTCAATGAAGAAATGCTCTCCGTTTCTGATATAACTGATGATAGTAGCATCTACACTAACCTCTATGCGCCCAACCCCTGTAGTTGCCAGTTCTTTCTCTAAGGAGTGTGATTGGTCCAGTACCACATAGATTTAAATGACGAGATGAATTTTGGTTCGAGCAGGTCACCTGAGCAGTGTTAACTATTCTGCCAATAGACCACAGAAAAAGGAAATTACATGAATAAAAATGTTCATCTCCAATAGTTAGCACCAAATACAGAAAAGTCAACCTATATTGCTTTTATTTATTTTTTTGGTCTCTGCCCCCTGCCAATATATACAAACAAAATGACAAAAATTATATAATATAGAAGTCAATTACTCCTTACCTGTAGATTGACAGCACTGATTCAAACTGCAGTTCTGAAACTGCCTGTATCAGAATACATAGGCTGAGCCTAGTTTTTAGGTGGTTCACATTAGTGACACATTATTATTCTGATGGAGATGGAAGACAAATGTGTGTGTTGCAGCACACAAATAGTCTCCAACTAGTGCTTAAACACCTGCTGCCCACTAAACTGTGTTCCATACACTTCAAGTATAAATAACTGTTTAGAGATCCTCAATGAGGAAAACCTCTCATTTTGGTTTAGATGACATAGACAGCGCTAGTAAGTGACCTCCGCAGAAGCATATTCCCACCTAAACCAAAGTGTTCTTTCTGGGTTTTTTATGACCACAAGGAGTGTTGCAACCTGAGAGAAAATTCACTCCAGGATATTTTGAGTCAGACGTTTGCACAGCACACATTTCCTAATTGAATTTTCAGCTGCAACTGGTGCTGACTATGTGAAGCAGTTACCTACTCGTCCTAACAGAATGTCTGCTCGTATGGCGTCCACATCTAACTGTGGATTTCCTGATCAGTACATCTATTTCTTGATTAAACGTGCTATGAGAGAATTTGAGATATTTAAGAGTTTAAAACATTTAAACATGAACTAAAATTATCAACAGAATGTGAAGAAAATAACAGTTTTGATGTTATATCAAAGACATTATGTATTGTGTTGCAGAGATTTCTACTGAAGTTAGCATGCTAACCAGCTAGCCTCGGCCTTTCCTGTCTTGTGATATCACTTAGTCCCTCAAGAGGAAAGAGTCAGAGAGCATAGCTCAGGCATACCCCATTGGTGTATGAATTTGACTTTGAGTATATTTATTCTGACATTTTGCACTTTTAAGATATAAGATCACGACTCTGGAGTTGGTGTGGGCCACGTCTTGAAGTAGTAATGTGAGTTACTTTTGGGGTCATAATTATTAATGTCACACACTGCATATGCTCTGCTATAGGCCATACATCACAACATTGCATTTGTACATGCCAGACTCCAGATATTTGATGATGTTTGGTTTTCAGTGCCAAGAACTAAAACAAAGACGACCTATTGGTGTTGCTGCTTTATTATTCCCACATACTTTTTTATCTTTCAGGTTATTATGTCCTCAACATGACCTTAGCAAAAATAATTCTTCTAGCAGGCCTTTATAGGAGTGGACAGATACAAATGCAACATCTTCAGACATGACTGAATATGAAGAAAAGGAAAAGAAGAGTTTTGGAAAAACCCAAATAACTCTTTTGATGTGATGGAACTTAACTCACCATCTGAAAACAGGATTTGGTGTATTGGTAACTATGACTAACAGGCAAATTTAATATTATTTTTCTCTAAATGTTGAGTTCTAAGTTCCACAAATCATGACCCAACAGCCAGAACATCATGAAACAGCAGGGGCCATGAGGAATATATTTCTCATTTCTGAAGCCAAGTAGTCAGTTTGTAGCAAGGCGTGAAAGTCAAACTATGACAGGTCTTTATGAAGGAATGCAAACTCACGGTCCATATCGGACAGTATGATTTGCATTTCAATATTGTAAGATCTGATTTGGTGTGAATCAAGACCTTGTGTGTTTCTTGATTACTTCAAGACCCTTTGGATGTGTGTAGAGCCCTGTCAAATTGATAAATGTGTTATTGTTTTTTTTTTTACATTTTCCCCAACATTATTTTCAAAAATGATGTATTAGCTGCTGATTCATTTCAGTGTGTTTATTGTGTAATAACCCCCCTCCCCCCCGCAAGTTGACTTGAACTGTTGAATCAACAGTGGCCTGATGTCTGAAGTTTATACAACACTATACCAAAGAAAAAGTTTTAGTTTAAATGTATTTTAGTGTTTTTATGGTAGCCTTCAAAGAGATATATTTTAAACTATAATATGAAACTTGACATGATATTGTATAATTTATCGATATTAAGGGAGCAAAGGCATTCCTTATGAGTCTGATTCTTGCTCAGATGCTGAAACATTTGCCCAACATTTTTTTTTTATCAGGGATGTTTAATGACAATGACAGACGACCAAGCTAAGCTTTTCCATAGTCCATAAAAGAAAAATAACTGATTTTATCATGTATATTGGCATTTGCTTTATATTTTGTCTACATCTACAACTAATAAGTATTGTTATTTCCAAAATGCTCCTAAATATTTTCCAAGCCAAGGTCATAGCCAAAATGATTTTTCCATCCTAGAATAAGAATTCTCTCATTCATTCTGCAGAGTAAATTTTAGTGACTAACGTTGCATTATAAGCAATTTTTTTTATATTTTTGGCCACAGAGGAACTCCACAATAAGGCTGACAGATACACAACCCTAACCTATTGCAGTGTTGCATGTTGTTTGTATAGCTAGCATATTAGCAAATAATTCCCCATTTATAAATCTAGTAGGCTTGTAGCAACATTTAATTGGAGTCATGATTCTGGTCATCAGTGTAAGCCCAATATTCTCATTACTGTTTGGACTTAAAGTATGTAGTATGTAAGTTGTATGTAAAACAGCTTAAAGCATCTGGGTATTAATCTTGCTAGATGATAGATATTTTTCACTAGTCACTCTGTATCTTTGTGCAAATTAAATCAGGTGAGAATTGACTTAAACACTTAATTATTCATTCTTATTAAACACTAACATGGGTTAGAATACATTAGATAAAAACAAAAACAATTAATAAATGGCCTATAATAGTAACCAGTTAGGATGAAAGTGCTATAATAACAATATTAATAAAAATCATCAATCAAACATCAGCAGTCACTAATATCTAATAGAAAGTCATTTGTTCTGTAGGATCACAGAGTGTGGAATAAAAGATTACTTAAAGATGTTTCTCATTGCTGTACCCTAACCCTGCCCCGTATAGTCTCCCTGAAGGGAGTTTTTTAAATTCATTGAACAAACAGTGTGAAAGGTCCTGCAATATTAATGATGCTTCCCTCTTGGTTTGTGTGGTGTACAGCTCCACCAACTGTCTCTGGGTGTTCTGTATAGTCTTTATATTAGTATAAATACAACTGGATGGAGTGTAAATGGCAGAGATGGATCCTTCTGTCCTGCTTAACCAGCTTGTGATCCAATGTGACTTTTTGTTCCGATTTGAGTGAATGTGTATAAACATTATGCAGTGCATCAGTATATGTATATTAATTTATCACTTTTAATTAATTAAGTCGATTTATTGTTACACCTCAACATTTTATTATTACCATGCTTATGTGTTAACTCAGAAAAATGGTGTTTATAAATTAAAGTATTAGCAAATAAACTTTATTGTGATAGGCCGAAAGCCTTCCACACTCACGGTGTAGGTGGTTATTACATCATGGAAAGTTTATTAAGTATGACCAATCAGGATTTGGATCAGATCACCAGTAAACAAACAAGCTACAAATTAAAATAATCAACAGCTTTGTTTCAATAATAGCACTAGATGGGCAGAAACATGTTTTGGATGGAAAAAAAACACTAGAGAGTGCTGAGGGAAAGACAAACCTCCATGGACATACTTTGGCTGTAGTTGAAAGAACAGTTCTTGCATGCTCCTCTGTGTGTGGTTTCATGCTTCGCCAGTGTTCACAATGAACAAAATTATCCGAGCTTCTCTTTCAGCTGGAGGAAATCTATTATCCATATTACGTGCTGGACATTTTAAAGTGCTGCTTACATAGAAGCCAACATTTCTGTATCTCATCT